AAGGACCCTCCCGAGGGGATACAGGCACCGGGACCCCCGAGAGCACCCCGGGGTGCTGCTGAACGGGGGTGACCCCCCCAGCCCAGGGAGCTGAGGGTGCCCCTGGACACCCCCCAGCCCCGGGGGTACCTGTGGGCGGGCGCGGGGGGACGGTCAACGCTCTCCAGGTAGGTGGCCAGCCAGGCCATGGCAGCACCCAGCCCCGCTGGCCCCGCTGGCCCCGGGGTCCCCGTGGTGCCCGGGGTCCCTCCTGCTGCTCCCAGTGCTCCCAGCGCCCCCGGGGGCCCCCCCGGTGCCTCCTGCTTGATGCGCTCAGGGGTGGCCTCGATGATCTGTCGCGCCAGCGTCACCACCTCGGCCTGGGGACAAGGGACGTCGGGGCTCTCCTGCTCCAGGCGTGTCCCCAGCCCCGGCTGTCCCCCAGCTTTACCTGCAGCGTGTCGGAGGGCAGGGCCAGGGGGTCCTCGGGGGGGCTGGGGGGCACTGCCACCCCCCAGCTCTCATCCTCGGAGGGGCCAGGGGGGCCGGGGGGCAGCGGGACGGAGCCGGGACCCTCGGAGAGCCCCGATGGGGACGAGAGGCTGCTGGCTGTGCTCGGGGGTTTAGTCCGGGAGAGACCCCCCAAGGGGGAAGGGGGGACACGGCAGGGGGGGGTTTAGTCCTGGAGAGACCCCCCCAGGGGAAGGGGGGATACGGCAGGGGGAGTTTAGTCTTGGAGAGACCCCCCCAGGGGAAGGGGGGACATGTGGGACACGGCAAGAGGACAGGGGACACCACGGGGACATACCAGGGACACAGGGCGGGACATGGGGGTGGCACAGGGAGCACAGGAGGGGGGGGACAAAGAACACCTGGGTCCCCAAAGATGTACCCCCCCAGGGGAAGGGGGGACATGTGGGACACGGCAAGAGGACAGGGGACACCACGGGGACATACCAGGGACACAGGGGGGCACATGGGGGTGGCACAGGGAGCACAGGAGGGGGGGGACAAAGAACACCTGGGTCCCCAAAGATGTACAGGGGACATGGGGAGGACACGGGGGAAAGGCTGGAGGGGACAACGATGCCCTGGGGGCACACAAAAGGGGACAGGGGGAAAACGGGGTCAGGAGCAGCGAGGGGACAGTGACCACACCAGGGGGGCGGGACACGGTGACAACAGGACAGAGTGACAGAGGACAGGCAGGTGCCAGCGCCATACCTGTGTCGGGGCTGGCGGACAGCGGGGAGGGGATGCGCAGGCCGGGCAGGTGACAGCGCGGGGACACGGGTGACATCTGCAGCTCCTCGAGGCGGGTGACCAGGGCCAGGTGGCCGCGGGCGCGGGCCAGGGCCAGCGGCAGCCGCCCCAGGGTGTCGGGGACGGCCAGCGCCCGCCGGTCCCAGCGGCACAGCCGCTCCGCCGCCTCCCGGTGCCCCAGGGCACACGCCCACATCTGGCGACACACGGAGGCGACAGCGTGTCCCCAAGGCGTCCCTCGGCCCCCAGGTGCCACCCCCGGCGTCCCTCCGGCCCCGCCTGAGGCACCGCCCTGCGCCCCATCCCCTCGGCGTGCATTGCCAGCCCTGTCCCCGCTGCCCCAGCGTCCCCAGCGTCCCCTCACCAGGGGGGTGCAGGAGAAATGGTCCACGTTGAGGGGGTCGATCTCCTGCTCCAGCTCCAGGCTCTCAACTGCCAGCGCCCTGCAGGGACAGGAAGGGACGCAGGCTGGAAAAGTGTCACCTCTGCTCAGGCTTCCCCCGCCTCGTGTCCCCACAGGTGTCCCCCCGGGTGTCCCCCCGGGTGTCCCTGCTCACCGCCAGCGCCGAAGAGCCTCCACCAGGCTGGCGTAGCCCTGGGCGGCCGCCAGGTGCAGCAGCGTCATGCCACGGAAGGTCACCCCGTGCGCCAGCATCGAGGTCCCCGAGGTGCCCAGCGCCGTCCCCGAGCAGCCCGGCCGGGCCATCATGGCCTCGCAGATGGCCACCACCCGCGCCTCGAAGGACGAGCCCGGCCCCTGCAGGCACGGAGCACCTCAGGGGACGCCAGGGCACGAGGAGAGGGGGGCACCGGGGGGTCCTGGGGGGCGGCAGGGGATGGTGGAGGGGGACAGTGGCCAGGGAACGGCAGGCCACTGCAGGATGGGGACAGCGGGACAGCAGGGAGTGGCTGAGAGCATCGGGAGACCCTCGAGGACACGAGGGACACAGGGGGGACATCAGGGAACAACAGGAGACCCTCGAGGACATGGGGGACACAGTGGGGACATCAGGGAATGTCAGGAGACCCTCAAGGACATGAAGGACACAGCGAGGACAGCAGGGAATGGCAGAGAGCATCGGGAGACCCTCGAGGACATGGGGGACACAGGGGGGACAGCAGGGAACATCAGGAGACCCTCGAGGAAGTGAGGGACACAGTGGGGACATCAGGGAATGTCAGGAGACCCTCGAGGACATGGGGGACACAGGGGGGACAGCAGAGAGCATCAGGAGACCCTCGAGGACATGAAGGACACAGTGAGGACAGCAGGGAATGGCAGAGAGCATCGGGAGACCCTCGAGGACAGGGGGGACACAGGGGGGACAGCAGAGAGCATCAGGAGACCCTCGAGGACATGAAGGACACAGTGAGGACAGCAGGGAATGGCAGAGAGCATCGGGAGACCCTCGAGGACAGGGGGGACACAGGGGGGACAGCAGAGAGCATCAGGAGACCCTCGAGGACATGAAGGACACAGTGAGGACAGCAGGGAATGGCAGAGAGCATCGGGAGACCCTCGAGGACAGGGGGGACACAGGGGGGACAGCAGAGAGCATCAGGAGACCCTCGAGGACATGAAGGACACAGTGAGGACAGCAGGGAATGGCAGAGAGCATCGGGAGACCCTCGAGGACAGGGGGGACACAGGGGGGACAGCAGAGAGCATCAGGAGACCCTCGAGGACATGAAGGACACAGTGAGGACAGCAGGGAATGGCAGAGAGCATCGGGAGACCCTCGAGGACAGGGGGGACACAGGGGGGACAGCAGAGAGCATCAGGAGACCCTCGAGGACATGAAGGACACAGTGAGGACAGCAGGGAATGGCAGAGAGCATCGGGAGACCCTCGAGGACAGGGGGGACACAGGGGGGACAGCAGAGAGCATCAGGAGACCCTCGAGGACATGAAGGACACAGTGAGGACAGCAGGGAATGGCAGAGAGCATCGGGAGACCCTCGAGGACAGGGGGGACACAGGGGGGACAGCAGGGAGTGGCAGAGAGCATCGGGAGAGCCTCGAGGACATGGGGGACACAGGGGGGACAGCAAGGAATGTCAGGAGACCCTCGAGGACGTGAGGGACACAGTGGGGACAGCAGGGAATGTCAGGAGACCCTCGAGGCACATGGGGGACACAGGGGGGACAGCAGGGAGCGGCAGAGAGCATTGGGAGACCCTCGAGGACGTGAGGGTCACAGTGGAGACAGCAGGGAATGTCAGGAGACCCTCGAGGACGTGAGGGACCCCAGGAAACCCCAGGGGTTCCAGCAGACACGGGGGATGCCAGGTGACACCACAGCACCTTCAGGGACACCGGGGACATCAGAGGGGACACTGGGATGATCAGGGCTGACCCGGCTGCCGGGGTGGCCTCACCTGCTCGGGGGGGGTCTCGGAGGGCCCCCCCCGTGGGGGGGGGGGGGGGGGCAGGGCCCCCAGACGCGTCTCCAGCTGCTCCAAGCGCTCCAGGATGGACAGACGGAACTGAGCCTCTGCCAGAGGGGGCACCCGGGGGTGAGGGGGGCACCCTGACAGCCAGAGCCCCCCCCCCGGACACCCCCACCCCAGAGAGGGTACAGGGGCGGCCGTGGGGTCACCACAACCAAAAGGGACCCCAAAAGTGCCACACCCAGGGGCACGGGGGGGTTTGTCCCGTCCGGGGGTCCTCACTCACCGTCCAGCGCCAGCCAGTCCAGCTGTGCCCCGGGGGGGCCCCGCGCCGCCCCCCGCGCCCGGTACTCGAAGGGGGCGGCGGCCGAGAGCAGCCGGGGGGGACAGGCCACGCGCAGGGCGGCCACGCCGGCCTCGTGGGCTGCGCCCCCCGGCGCCGCCCCCCCACCCAAGCTGGCCACCACCACGAGGGGCAGCCCCCCACCGCCCCCCGGGGGGAAGGCGGAGGGGGGGGCTCGGGGCCCTTCGGGGGGCGCCGTGCCCCCCGCCCCCAGGCCCGGGGAAGGCTGGGTGGTGTCAGGGGAGGAGGGGGCGGCTTTGGGGGGGTCCCCCGGCGTGGTCCCCGAGCCCCCCCGCTCCACTTTGGGGGAGATGATGCGGTGCTTGGTGCTGCTGCACTTGTGGCCGGGAGCGCCTGCGGGGGTCAAGGGGAGGGGGGGGGCGTCAGATTTTGGGGGGTCCCGAAGAGATTGGGGGCGTTCAGAGCCATCAGAGGAATTTGGGGGTGTCCCCAGGGGTTTGAGGGGTCCCAAGGGGTTCAGGGTGTCACAGTGGTTTGGGGGGATCCCAAGGAGGGTTCTGGAAGAGACCCCCAGGAAGGTTTGGGGGAGGTCCCAGCGGGATGGGAGTCCTGGTGGGGTCCCTGGGGATTTGGGGGTCCCGGGGGGGGTCCCTGGGGATTTGGGGGTCCCATTGAGCTGGAGCAAGTCCCAGTGGGGTTGCTGGGGGCTTGGGGGTCCCAGTGGGTTCCTTGGGGGCTCGGGGGTCCCGGTGGGTTCCCCGCGGGTTTGGGGGTCCCGGTGGGTTCCCTGGGAGTTTGGTGGTCCCGGTGGGTTCCCCAGGGGCTCGGGGGTCCCGGTGGGTTCCCCGGGGGCTCGGGGGTCCCGGGGCTCCCCGGGGGTCCTGGTGGGTTCCCCGCGGGTTCGGTGGTCCCGGTGGGTTCCCCGGGGGCTCGGGGGTCCCGGTGGGTTCCCCGCGGGCTCGGGGGTCCTGGTGGGTTCCCCAAGGGCTCGGGGTCCTAGTGGGTTCCCTGGGTGTTTGGGGGTCCCGGTGGGTTCCCCGGGGGCTCGGGGGTCCCGGGGCTCCCCCGGGGGGTCGCGGGGGTCCGTCTCACCCAGCCCCCCGGCGCAGAGGCAGGCGTGGGTGCGGGGCGGCGGCCGGGCCTGGTGCCTCTCCAGGACGTGCTGCACCAGCTGCTCCAGGGACAGCGCGGGGGCAGCGCCCCCGTTCCCGCAGCCCCACTTCACCCCGTGGACTGCGGGCCGGGGGGGGGACACCCCTCAGCACCACAGCCCCCCCAAACCGCCACGCGCAGCCCCCCGCCCCACGCCGTCCCGCGGGAAAGCCGCGGCACAAAATCCCCCTCCAGGAGGGGGGTTGGGTGCCCTAACTGACCCCCCAAAACAGCCTCGTGCTTCAGCCCAGAAAAAAAGGGAGACAAAATCCCACAGGGGGGTTTGGGGTGTCCTCCCCCCTCCGGTCCCCATAAATATCCCATAAATGTGACAACAAATCTGCCAAAAATCAGCACTTACAGCATCACTCCTTCCCCAACCGCGGAGAAAAAGCCCCCCACTCACACAGGGGGGTTTGGGGGGTCCTCCCCCCTCCGGTCCCCATAAATATCCCATAAATGAGACAACAAATCTGCCAAAAATCAGCACTTACAGCATCACTCCTTCCCCAACCGCGGAGAAAAAGCCCCCCACTCACACAGGGGGGTTTGGGGGGTCCTCCCCCCTCCGGTCCCCATAAATATCCCATAAATGAGACAACAAATCTGCCAAAAATCAGCACTTACAGCATCACTCCTTCCCCAACCGCAGAGAAAAAGCCCCCCACTCACACAGGGGGGTTTGGGGTATCCCCTCACAATCCCCCATAAATGCCCCATAAATGTGACAACAAATTCCCCAAAAATCAGCACTTAGAGCATCCCCTCTTCCCAAACCCCCCAAAACCCCCCAGGGGCAGCCCCCCACTCACACAGGGGGGTTTGGGGTATCCCCTCACAATCCCCCATAAATGCCCCATAAATGTGACAACAAATTCCCCAAAAATCAGCACTTAGAGCATCCCCTCTTCCCAAACCCCCCAAAACCCCCCAGGGGCAGCCCCCCACTCACACAGGGGGGTTTGGGGTATCCCCTCACAATCCCCCATAAATGCCCCATAAATGAGACAACAAATCTGCCAAAAATCAGCACTTAGAGCATCCCTCCCTTCCCAAACCCCCAAACCCCCCCGGGGCAGCCCCCCACTCACACATGGGGCGCAGCTGTGCCACCAGCTCCTCCTGGGACCACTTGAGCCACTCCCGGGGGTCGGCGGAGGCGGCGCAGAGCGGGGGGGCCCCGGAGCAGAGCGGGGGGCTGCAGAGCGGGGGGCTGCAGAGCCGGGGGGCGCAGGCCCGGCCGCACTCCTCCATGGCCGGCACGTTCAGGTAGTGCACCAGCACGATGTCGGGGTTCTGGGGGGCACACGGGGCAGCTCGGGGCAGCGGCCGGGGGGTCTCCGCCGGGTTTGGGGAGGGGGTCCCGGTGCTCCCCCCCGGGGTTACCTGCAGCAGCCAGTAGCAGCGGCGGTGGAAGGTGGGCACGATGGAGGAGTGCACGTAGCAGCCGTAGAGGCACTGGGGGGGGGGGACTGGGGGATG